GAGCACTGCTCAGCCAGAAGCCGGGCTCATGCTGGCGAGTGCAGCAGCGGTGGTGGGTGCCTCTCCAGCCTCCATGGCAGTGCTAAGGACCCCCTGGGGATGTCTGACTGCCGGCTGTGGGGAGTGGGCCTAAGCCGGCAGGCGGACATCCCCTGAGGGATCCCAGACTGAGAGAGGGCCCAGGCTGGGCTGAGGGACCCCTCCCTCCCCCCCGCCCCCACCCTGCCGCCAGTGCACCAGGCCTCTAGTATTATTATACTTAAAATCCTTTTGTTTTTGAAATATTAATGTTTATTGCATGTAATATTATTATATGTAAGATAATTTTTCTTGAATAATTGGTGTTTATTGCATGTAACATATTTAAAATCATTTTTCTTGAGATGTTAATGTTTATTGCATGTAACATTATTATATTTAAGATCGTTTTTCTTGAAATAATAAGGTTTATTGCATGTAACATTATTATATTTAAAATAGTTTTTCTTAAAAACTGGAAAAAAAGAATAAAGAAAAGAAAAATAAAAGAAACATTTATCCAGAGTGATGTTGAAACGGGATAATAACGGCACTTGGCAAGAACACAAATAGTTACTGTGAGGGACCCTAGAATGTTCCAAAAGAAGAAAGATTTCCTGAGATTTCCTGATGAGGGGGTTGGGGTGGTCATGAAGGGAAGCCACCTGAGGCTGGGCTCTGAAGGACCAGGCCATTGCAGAAGGGCTGGAAAGGCTGGTAAGGGCCCATACAGAGCTAGCAAATGCGCCAAGTGCAACCCAACACCATTTCCTTTAGCCTTCACCTTACTATCTTAAATTTTCATTTAGTTGCAAACATTTTAAATTTGGGAGATTTCATGTAAAAATCAAGATTTCTGGATTCTCTTGAAAAAAATTGGAGTCTGTGGCAGCACTGGGCCACCTGGTGTGGCAGGCATGGGGTCAGCATATGCCCGCCCTCTGGGCAGCCTCACTGGCCCCTGGGGGATTTGATTCATCACCCACCCCTACATTCACACACTCACATACCAACCCTGGGCTAGAGTCAAACGCAGATGTCCCTGGGATGGAAAACACAATCAGGGGTCAAGTCCAGTCATTTTGGGGTGATTAGTGGATTGGTTAATTTTGGTCCCCTACCAGGGCAGGAATGAGACTAATGACTTGTAGTGCTGATGGAAATAGCGTAGCCCAAAGGAAGAGACACAGTGCTCCAGACAGATGCCTGTGCAATGCCACAAGGAATCCTGAGTGTCTAGACCAGTGATGGCGAACCTTTTGAGCTCGGCGTGTCAGCATTTTGAAAAACCCTAACTTAACTCTGGTGCCGTGTCACATATAGAAATTTTTTGATATTTGCAACCATAGTAAAACAAAGACTTATATTTTTGATATTTATTTTATATATTTAAATGCCATTTAACAAAGAAAAATCAACCAAAAAAATGAGTTCGCGTGTCACCTCTGACACGCGTGTCATAGGTTCGCCATCACTGGTCTAGAGGAAAGGTGGGGGTGGGAGTGGAGTTAGGCAGTGCAGAGGTTCTATTAGTCATGTCCAGAGAGGTAAAGTATCTTTCCCAAGGTCACACAGCTAGTTAGTATCAAAGGCAGAACTGGTACCAGACAGCATGGCTCCAGAACCTAGGCATTTAATCCCTCACAACTCCTATGGCAATAAGGAAAAGTACTAGGTAATGAAAGAGAGTGAGACAGTAATGCAGTCTTGGCTTGGGTGATGGGGAAGATGTCCCTGTGAAGGTGACATTGAGGCTGAAACCAAAAGAGGAGAATGAGTGACAGGGTAGAAGCTGTGAGAAAAGCTCTCCAGGAGCAGAACAGCAAAGACAAAGGCTCTGAGGAACAAAGGAGCTTGATAACAACAACAACAACAAAAGGTGAGGACAGGGTAGCTTGGAAGCAGTGGTCAGTGAGTGGAGGAGTGGCGAGAGACGAAGTTGGAGAGACAGACTTAGACCAGAGCCTGCAGGGCCCTAGATGTTCCAGTAAGAACGGTGGCACCGGCCCCAGCTGGGTAGCTCAGTTGGTTAGAGTGTCGTCCCAGTATGACAAGGTTGCAGGTTCCATCCCTGCGCAGGGCCTATACAAGAATCAGCCAATGAATGCATAAATAGGTGGAACAACAAATCAATGTTTCTGTCTCATGCAAATCAATAATTTAAGAAAAAAGAATTTTGGTATGACTGTAGACTGTGTGTTAACTTTACTCTTTGTTTTATAAGGAGAGCATAAATCCTCAAAGTCAGGGATTCTTTGTGTCCTTCATAGAACATAGCTCAGGATATAGTGGATGTTTCCTGTGTTGACTGATTAATGATTGATGAATTGGTTGACACCAACGTGAAACATAGTTCAAGATGAAAAATAAATCTTTACCGCTTCACATACACTAAAATGGCTAAAAAATCATCTTCAACAACAACAAAAAATGATAAAAAGTATTGGCAAGTACGTGGAGAAATTAAAATCCTCATATGGCCCTGGCCAGTGTGGCTCAGTTGGTTGGAGCATTATCCCATGCACCGAAGGGTGGCAGGTTTGGTTCCCAGTTAGGGTGCAAGTGGGAGGCAGCCGACCAATGTTTCTCTCTCTCTCTTTCTCCCCCTTCCTCTGAATAAAAGCAATTTTTTAAAAAAAATTGGGGGAGGGGAGGGGAAGAATGCCCATACATTTTTTAGAAATCCTCATACGGCCCTAACTGGTTTGGCTCAGTGGATAGAGCGTCGGCCTATGGACTGAAAGGTCCCAGGTTCGATTCCGGTCAAGGGCATGTACCTGGGTTGCAGGCACATCCCCAGTAGGAGATGTGCAGGAGGCAGCAGATCGATGTTTCTCTCTCATCGATGTTTCTAGCTCTCTATCTCTCTCCCTTCCTCTCTGTAAAAAATCAATAAAATATATATTAAAAAAAATCAATAAAATATATTTTTTAAAAAATCCTCATACGTTGCTGGTTGGGTTGTAGAATGTACAGCCACTTTGAAAAACACTTTGGCAATGCCTCAAAAAGTTAAACATAGAGTTACCATATGACCCAGCAATTCCACTCCTAGGTTTGTGCTCAAAATAATTGAAAACATATATCCAAGTATACAAATGTTCAGGGCAGCATTACTAATAATAACCAAAAATTGTTAACTGCCTAAATGTCCATCAGCAGATGAATGGATAAACAAAATGTGGTATATTTATACAATGGATTTATTAAGCCATAAAAAGGAATGAAATGCTGGTACATGTTACAACATGGATGAACACTGAAAACATTATGCCAGTCACAAAGACCGCATATTGTAGCCCTCGCCAGGTAGCTCAGTTGGTTAGAGCGTTGTCTGGATATGCAAGGTTGTGGTCGCTCTCCAATCAGGGCACATACAAGAAGCAACCAATGAATGCATAAAGAAGTGGAACAAGAAGTTCATTCTCTCTCTCTCTCTCTCTCTCTCTCTCTCTCTCTCTCCCTGAAACCAATTAAAATTATTTTAGCCGAAACCGGTTTGACTCAGTGGATAGAGCGTCGGCCTGCGGACTGAAAGGTCCCAGGTTCGATTCCGGTCAAGGGCATGTACCTGGGTTGCGGGCACATCCCCAGTAGGAGATGTGCAGGAGGCAGCTGATCGATGTTTCTTTCTCATCGATGTTTCTAACTCTCTCTCTCTCTCCCTTCCTCTCTGTAAAAAATCAATAAAATATATATATTTTAAAGTAAAATAAAAAATAAAATAAAATAAAATATTTTAAATAACTATATATTGTATGATTCCATGTATATGAAGTGTCCAGATTCAACACATCTATAGAGACAAAAAGTGGATTCATGGTTTCCAGAGAGAAATGAGCAGTGACTGCTAATGGATATGAGGTTTCTTTTCAGGGCGATGAAATGTTCTAGATTTAGTGGTGATAATTGCACAGCCTTGTGAATATACTAAAAGCCTGAATTATATAGTTTAAAAGACAGAATTTACAAAAGAAAACAAATTAAAAAATAAAAAATAAAAGACAGAATTTATGGTATGTGAATTATACCTTAGTAATGCTGCTCTAAAAGAAAAAAAGAAAAAGCTTTCTTGTTTTGAGCTACTGAGGTTTTGGGTCTGTTTGTTTGTTACCTCAGCATTACAGAGTCCATCCTGACTGATACACCCAGCCAGATTATCAATCAAATGCAAGGGCAGAATAAAGACACGTTCAGACCTGCAAAGTCTCAAATGGTTTCATCAACTAATGTGCATTTTTAAATACGCATTAATTTTCACACTAATCACCGACTGGATAAGATGTAACTTATATAATGTTCAAGCAGAAAAAGCCTTCACGTGGAAGACAAGAGCAAATGACACAACTCCGTCCTCAGCCAAGAGGCCTTGAGAGCAGTCAAAATTGCAATGGCATTGAGACTTTTCCTTAACGTTACAAACCCAGAGGGCGTAAGACCTAATTTCCTTTGTTAAAGAGAGACTCATATCTGAACTTAGGTTTCCTTCAGATGAAAGAAGGTCTAAATGTTTGCTTACACATTAGGCAGGACTTCTCCTAAAACATGACTGAAATAGTCTTTTACTTTCCTATCCCTTTGCTCAGATTGCCTCGCTTCTCTTATTTTCTCATCTAAATTGTAAGACCTTGGCAACGGTTCACTGCAGGTAACTTGCTTGTATAAAGAGAAAACAGTGTCCTTATTTCTGATCTTGAAATCAGAAGGATAGAATAAAAGAATAAAGAAAAGAAAGAGGAAATGAAAAGTCATATTGTTTTGTTGCTAGGGGCCTAGTCACCTCAAGCCCTGACTTCATCCCCTGATTTCTCCCTCCTCTCATTCCCCTGATTCTTCCCCGGAACCAGGAACTATCCACCTTTGTGACATCACCTCTATTGCTAAGCAACAGACTCAGGGGTCCACGAGCCCCATAAGCCCTGGGGGAAGCTTTGGACAAAGGTGCTCGAAGAAGGAAGCTTCAGAGGAAAGAAGTCGCCAACATGTTGCGTGTTGTAGTGGAGTCGGCCAAGATTAACCCGCCCCTAACCCCCCCACCCAGACCCTGTGTGTCTGTCTACTTCAGAGGTAAGCACCAGGATTCTGGATGGAAGACAGGTAACCCAAGAGGCAACACGTATTCAATGAAAAAAATAGGATTATTGGTGCCCTATTATGTGAAAGATGCTCTGTCTGACAGAAAGCTAAGGTGGCCGAACCGGTTTGGCTCAGTGGATAGAGTGTCGGCCTGCGGACTGAAGGGTCCCGGGTTCGATTCCGGTCAAGGGCATGTACCTTGGTTGCGGGCACATCCCCAGTGGGGGGCGTGCAGGAGGCAGCTCATCGATCTCTCTCATCGATGTTTCTAACTCTCTATCCCTCTCCCTTCTTCTCTGTAAAAAAATCAATAAAATATATTAAAAAACAAAACAAAACAAAAACAGAAAAAGAAAGCTAAGGTGGACACCCTCCAGTTCTTTCATAACTTATCATCTTTATTACCATTATTTCTTTTATTCTGACATTTTTACTAGGGCATGGTTATGGGAAAAAGAGAAGATTAATACTTTTCTCAAATTATTGATCCCAAGCTTCTATGAAATAGGGTTATGCCACAAACTCAAGTTTAAAGAAAAAAAAGTACCTGCTTCATAGGATCAACGTGAGGATTTTATCTTATTTTTTAAAATCATTTTTTATTTTCATTTACAGTTGACATACATTATTGTATTTGTTTCAGGTGTACACCCCAGTGATTAGACATTACATACTTAATAAGTGATCATCCTGATAAATCTCACATCCATCTGACAACATACATAGTTGTTATACTACTAGGGGCCCAGCGAACGAATCCATGCACCTTGAAAGGAACTGTGGGCCACGAGGCTGCGGTGGGCACAGGGGCGGGTCTTGGCCCATCCTCCGTGCCCCACCCAGCCCCTTCCCTCCCCACCCCCCACCCCCGGGCCCTGGTCCCCTGCAGCCCCGCTCCCAGCAGGATGGGACCGCTGCGCAGGAGCAAAGAATTTTCAGTAAGCAACAGAGGCTCATCCCAATGACAGCAACTGGTGCCCTGCCTTGGTCTGGTGTCCCCACTCACTTGCCCACCGTGTTCCATGTGTGCCCTCTGGTGGCCAGCGCACGTCATAGCAACCAGTTGTTCGGTTGTTCCACTGTTTGGTCTATTTGCATATTAGGGTTTTATATAGAGAGATTATTGGCTGTATTCCCTATGCTTTAATTCCCATGACTATTCTGTAACAACTAATTTGTATTTCTTAATCTCTTCACCTTTTTCACCCATCCCCCCCCAACACCCCTCCCATCTGACAACTGTCAAAACATTCTCTGTATCTATGATTCTGTTTCTGTTCTGCTTGTTAGTTTATCTTGTTTTTTAGATTCAATTGTTGGTAGGTATGTATTTATTGCCATTTTATTGTTCGTATTTTTTTTTTATCTTCTTCATCCTGTAACACAGACCCAGAGCCATCTCTAGGCAAGTTACTGTCCAGTAACTGAGCCAGAATGGTCCAGTGGTTCCTACCAGAATGTTTCTCAGCTCTTCCTTCTCATCATTAGTTTTTAACTCGAGATTATCAAATGGATCTTCTTCACACTCAAAGTGAGCAGGCTAGACATCTGCCTTTGTATGGGGTGGGCTGAGGACTTTGTTTCGTGGCACTGCTGCTGACCCAAGTCTGGGGGGGGATGCTATTGTGCTGTGAGGTGGCAAGGATGGGGTTAACGGGGGGGTGGCATTGTGGCTGTACTGTGAGTGTTGGAGAAACTCATTTTGTTATCGCCCTCTGGGGCCACTCTTAGAATTCACTTTAGCTTCTGCTTCCTCAGCCTTACACCCTGCTTCCCGCTGGGTTTCTTGAATTTTCTTAATATCTTCAGCCCACTCAATGGTTTTCTTGTCCAAGGAGAAGTCATACTATACTTCTCTGACAACCTGCAAACCATCAGGCAGGGAGAAGCCAATAGGTAGACCCACCTTAGCTGGTGTTTTGAATTTGTCTTCTATTTGAAATGGGACATCATCAAGGTAACTGAAAGTCCCATGAAAATCCACACCCAACTTCTTAGAAGCCATTTAGACCCTGAATGCTGCTGCCATTGCTGTCCCAGAAGCCAAAAGATGCTGGTGCCACCGACCTCGGTCCTGGCTGACGGCTCTTAGGGAGAGCGAACACCACCACCTTCAACTCTGCCCTCCCACTCCCCACCCCCGGGCCAGGCCGTCATCTTAGCAGAAGCCAATACCACAGCCACCAGGTTGAAGTCCTACTTCCCTCTCATTGAGCATTCTTATGGCCAGTGTTTTGAACTCTTCATCTAGTAGATTGCTTGCCTCCATTTTAGCTAATTGTTTTTCTGGAGTTTTGTTCCTGTTCTTTCATTTGGGCCATGTTTCTTTGTCTCCTCATTTTGGCAGCCGCCGGTGTTTGTTTTTATGTATTAGGTAGAGCTGCTACATAGCCCAGGCTTGGTAGAGTGGCCTAATGGTAGGTGTCTGTTAGGGTCCAGTGGCACAGCCTCCTCAAAGCTGAGTACTTGAGGTCACCCTGCCCCCGTGTGGGTTGTACACCCTCCTCTTGTAGCTGAGCTCTGATTGCTATTGGCATGTCAATGGAAGGTATTTACCCAGGCTGATCAGCTGCAAGGACTGGCTGTGACTACTGACCACCGACTTCCACCCACCTTGCAGAATTAGCTGTGCAGGGTCCACCCTACAGAGCAAGACTTATTTCAACAGGACTCTGGTGCCCACTGAGTCCACCCCTTGAGTGTCTTGCTTGTGGAAGTGGTTGGTGATGGTGCTTCAACGTGATCTGAAGCTGTCCACTGGGTGAGCTGGCTCTGGGCCCCCAGGATGTGCAGGCCAAGGTCAGCCACTGCCTGTGTCCTGCATGGAGCCACTTGGCATGAGCTACAAAGCAATCTGCAAATGGCTGCCACTTGTGCTGGGCTTGGAGGTACCCAGGGGAGACCAAGCTGGGAACCAAGACTGGCTGCTGCTAGTGCCAGGCCTGGGGCCACTTAGCTAGAGGTACAGGGCTCTCTGAGACCAGATGCTGCTTGTTTTAGAGAATTTAGGAAAATCTGAAGCATGAGCCAAGAAAGGCCATTTGTGTGGAAAAGCCACTGGAAATAGCATGGGTGGCCTGAAAGTTGGGTGGGGTAGGGCCTCAGGGAATCACCAGTGTGTGTGTGTGTAGGGAGACAGTGTAGGGAGACAGTTAACAGGGTTGATGAAGTCTCAGATAGGGCAACTGCCTGCTCTGTGGGGGGAGGGCTCATCAATCGAAAAGGCCTCTGCCAGCACTTCTGTGTGGGAGAAAGCTACCCCTCCAGCTCGCCCCCTGATACCCCACAATTAAGTTCCACCCCACAAGTCTCTGGTGCCTTTCAAGCTGCTGCCTGCTAGTCCCACCCTACCACTTCTCCCTGCCCCCAGGTCAGAGGAAGTGAGTCAGAGTAAGGCAGTGTATGGGCCCTTTAAGAGGAACGCTACGGGCCCTGACCAGTTTGGCTCAATGGATGGAGCGTCAGCCTTCGGACTCAAGGGTCCCGGGTTCAATTCCAGTCAAGGGCATGTACCTTGGTTGCGGGCGCATCCCCAGTGGGGAGTGTGCAGGAGGCAGCTGATCGATGTTTCTCTCTCATCGATGTTTCTGGCTTTCCCTTCCTCTCTGGAGAAAAAAAAAAAGAATGCTATGGATTCCAGCAGCCTCTGTCTCACTCAGCTTCAATCCCCACTGATTTTTACAGTCAGAAGTTATGGGGATTTCTCTTCTCAGCACTGGAACCCTGAGCTGAGGGGCCTGGTGTGGGGCTGGGACCCCTCACTCCTCAGGGGGGACCTCCACAGCCAAGATATTTCTCCATGTTTTTATCTGCTACATTTGGGTGTGGGACCAGCCTGTTCCATGTCTCTGGCCCTTAAGATCAGTCTCGGTGTGGCTTCCTTATATCCTTATCTGTAGGACTTCCATTCAGCTCAATTTCAGGCAGTTCTGAATGATGGTTGTTCTGTAGTTTAGTTGTAATTATAATGTGGTTGTGGGACAAGGCGAGATTGTGTGTACTGGAAGTCCCAATGTAAGGACTTTAATAGATAATATATGAACAATTCTTTCTACAACTTTGGAAAATTGCTCAAGAATATTAATTACTTTTATAATCAACAAAAATTTATATTTTCATAAATATAATGATTTTTGCTCCTCACAACAAATGCATGAGGCAAATAAGGGAAGTTTTATTGTCTCCATTTTTAATAGGTAAGGGAAAAAAGTCCAAGAAAGGTGGGAAGGAGGGGGTTAAAGGGTTTATGAGAGAGAATGAAAGAGTTTAAGTATCTATATATATAAAAGGCTAAGCAACCGTCCGACCGGCTCATAGGTATGATGAACACTGACCACCAGGGGGCAGACGCTCAACACAGGAGCTGTTGAGCTGCAGTGACTTGGCAGTGGTGGTTCTCGGGTGACACACTCCAGAGCCAGAGAGGAGGAAGCCAGATTCTGGGGTGCATCACCGGAGAACTGCCCTCTCACATCCAGGACTCCTTGGGGGATGTCAGAGAGCTGGTTTCAGCCCAATCCCTGCAGGCCAGCCCAGGGACCCCACCTACTGGAGGGACCCCCGCTCACTCCACAGGTGCCCTTCAAGCTGCAGTGCCACCCCAGGTGTGGCTGGCTAGGGAGGGACCACGGGATGTTGGCTCCAGGGTGTGTCTGGCCCATCTCGCCCAGTCCTGCCCTGCCAGCCACCTTCTAATTAATTTCCTTTCCATGTGCACAAATCCGTGCACTGGGCCACTAGTATCTTCATAGCAAAGATCTGGGATTAAAAGGGGAAGAAGAAGAAAAAGAAAAATGAACCATCTATTGGTGAAGAGTATGGAAAGGTAGCTACAGGCAAATGAGGTTTTCCAGGGTATGTGGGGAGTGAGAAGACTGGGGCCAAGAACAAAGGACAGTACTTTCTATGAGAGACATGAGTCAAGCATGCAATTCCTTCCATTTATCTCTCTTTCTCTTTCTCTCTCTCTCTTTCTGTCTCTCCTCCCTGCCCCCCTCCCGCCTCCACCTTGAGAAGAATCTCAAAGTAATGTAACAATTTAGAGCTTCTTTGCAGGGCTACAGACTGCTCTTTGTTAAAGATATTTCTGGAGGGGGGGATTTTAGCAGATAAAGAGCTTCTAACCCATTATCAATGTTTTGGGATATCTCTTTGGCTACCCTAGGCCTTGCTCTGAGAATAAATAAACCCTTACATCTCAGTGCCAGAACACAGTAAAAGCTGATTTCTTGCTTACACCAAGCCCTGTGTGGATGGCGCTGTCAGGCAGCTCTGCTGAGTGGTTTAGAGACCAGCTGCTTGCCTCTGTGGCTGCAAAGTCCCCCTGGCAGCACCCTGCCAGCAGGTCCTGAGTGTGGATTTGGGCAGTGGGGAGAAGGAGAATGGAGAGCCTCATGGGAGATTTTAGGAGCCAGGCCTGGCAGTGGTGAATGTCCCTCCCATGCCCCTTTGGCCAGAACATGGCCCCACCTGGCTGCAAGATGGCTGGGAACTATGTACTCAGGAAGAAACAGACACAAACACAAAACATTATCTGTCACCAGAGCCGATGTCACTCTTATAAAAAGCGAGAAATTCTGAAACCCCCTGAGGAAGAAGGAATCAGTGCCATTTCACATCTGCCATTGCAGACTTGAAGATTTATCTTTTGTGTGTTTTTTTAATCCTCACCTGAGGACATGCTTTAATTAATTTTATAGAGAAAGGAAGGGAGAGGGGGAGAGAGAGAAACATTGATGTGAGAGTGAAACATCAATTGGTTGCTTCCCACATGTGCTGGACTAGGGATCCAACCAGCAACCAGATATGTGCCCTGACCGGGAATCAAACCAGTGACTTTTTGGTGTACAGGACAACCCTCCAACCAACTAAGCCACACTGCCAGGGTGACTTGAAGTGTTTTAGAGCTTCCCACCTCTCTTTACCCCACTTGAACCTAGACTTTGAAATATTTCCTGTCACCAATACCAACCCCTTCGTGTCTTTGCAGATGTCAAGAAGAAAACTTCGGAGGGGGAAGGGAATAACCCCACCTGGAACGAAGTAAGACATACCAGGGCAAGCCCCGAGGAGGCAGTGACACCCAGTAGTGAGGGAGAGGGCATGGAGCCTCACCAGCGTTTCCCACGGCTGGGCATCTTGGCCTGGGAGTAGCCCCTCAGCTGACAAGGCTGTGAAGGCCTGAGGGCTGCAGCAGCCACATCTGTCCAGCTGCTCTGGCCCTTCTTCCCCACTCCAGGGATGGACCGTGGTGTAGTCCTTCCTGTCCAACCTGGCCATCCTGATGTCCCCAGACACCTGAAGCAGAGACAAGGCTCTCTGTGCAGGATCTCGGCTCACTTTCCATCCATCCACGTTCCCACTACCCCTTGGTCCCCAAACCTCTTAACTAACATGCCCACGACACTGCCGTTCAAGCTATGGAGGCCCGGGGAGGATGCCCAGCACCTTGGTGAAAGGCAGCAAATGCCATCCTCTGAGGCAATTAGATTCGAGGGAGGGTCCTCAGGTTGAGGGAAACACAGTGCCAGCCTGTTGTCCTAGAAGGATGGGAAGGGGAGGGTAGAGAAGGGATGCTGACTTCTCTGTGCCTCCCACAGACCCTAATTTGGCACCTCTGGAACCAACCCATACAGAATGACTCTTTCCTGCAAGTCATCCTTCAGGACTTGTGCTCAGAAAAGAAAGAGAGGTAAGATAGAGAGAGGCACAAGGAGCCTGACTCCCTAACAAAGCTACAGCAAGTCTCCTGTCCCTAATCCATAATTCAGTCACACGGACCAGAACCCACCCCAGCCAGCTACTTCAAAAAGTGTGTGTGTGTGTGGGGGGGGGGGGACTTTTGGAAGGATAGTGAGGCGAGGAGTGAAGATCAACTAGAACTAGAAACCTAGGAGCTCAGGAGCAGTCTGTCGCTTCTGAAGCCATGGGACTCCCAAGTCCCTGCTTCTCTCTGTCTATCCCATCAAGGCCCCATTCAGCTGAGACTGACATCCACTGAGATGGAAGCTATGGTATCCTAGATCAATCTTTCTACAAGAAAGAATCTAATTGGCCTAGTTTCAGTCCGGTGTCCACCCCCAGTCCAATCAGTTGTCCAATCAGCTGTTATTTGGCATAGTTCCCATTCAGGACGAGTGTGGGAGCAGAGCTTCTGGGAAGGGGCTTGGCAGGCAGAGCCAGTAACTAGGGTGCCCAATGCCTGGGGAGCCCCAAAGCCAATTCCCAGAGACTCGAGATCCTGTGTCCTCTGATGGATGCTCCCCATCACTGTGTTCTTCCTTCAGCCCCTTATGGAAAACACAGCCTCTAGGAGAGAAACCCATCTCTAGATAACGTCCTCTTGGGACAGGGAAGGACCCCCTTCCCCTGGCTCAGGCTCCCGTACCTGCTCTTATCTCCCCAGGTTCATTGGCTTGGTCACAATCCTGCTCAAGCCCTTGGTGATAAAACCAAGAAAAGTTCTTTTTGTGAAGGACCTGACCCTCCTCAACCATTCCATGAAGCCCACAGATGTGAGTTGGGTCCCGGGACGGGTGGTTGGCGGATTGGGGACAACCCGAGAAACTGGGCTACTCTGCTCCAGCAGGGGGCCCGGAGACCTCATCCAGAGACTGCTTCCTGCCCTCAGGGGTCCCATCACACTGCCATCTTCTCCCTGACTTCCCTACTCGCCCGCCCACCCATTTAGACTATTTGTGATCATCCGCTGGGTGTCTGCGACTGTGCTAGGCCTGGGATACTATAGTGAATGAAACCCACAGTCTAGTGGAGTAGGCACCACTCACAATCACAGTGCTCCAGCGCAGTGTACAAGAGTGAAGAGAGCGAGGTCACTGAGGTCAAGAGGGGATGAACGATTCTGCTTGGAGGTCATGGAAGGCTTTACAGAGGAGGTGGTTAAGCCATGTGGAAACAGACGAAGACCAACCAGATGAGAACCAGCAAACGCTATGTATTCAGAACTGGCTATAGCATGGGAGTCAGCCACCATCACGTGGGTTTGGCAGAGACTCAAAGGCAGGCAGAGGAGAGGGGAAACTCTATAGCAGAAAAAGGGGAGACTCCTGGTGTGTGTGGATGGGAGGTTGTTGGCCTAGGAACGCTGTAAGTGACGTCACTAGAAGCTGGGCATCCTATGTGATTGGTTAGGGTGCACATTTGGCTTTCTCCTATTAGTCCTAAGAGGGAAGTGGGGACAAAAATTAGGGCAGTTGCAGTTATTAATCAATCCTGGCCATTGGGGGCTGATCACTATTGTTTGCTTCCTGGATTGTTGCTAGAGCTAGAGGTTTGGCTTCCTGTAAGTCTGATTTATACTGGCTTTCTGGGCTGGTTACCGTAGATACTGGTTTGGTTTCCTGGGCTGAGTGCTGCAGACTGTGGGGCAGAGTTCTGTTTTCCTATATGCTCTGGCCATTGTCCATGTGCCTATTCCGTTTCTCAGTTTATAACCTCCCTGCACCCCAGACTGCGCAAGGCCCCATGATGTGGCATTGCAATGTGGTCAGCACCACTCCACCCTGGAGAACTGGGCATGAACCACCAGGCTGGGCTGGGTTTCAGTGCTGGGACTTGGCAAGGATCGCATGGTTTGGCGTACAGCTCCCTTGTCTTTGCCTTGTAGTGCACTATCACCCTACATGTGGCCCATATGACCAACCGGGACATTGAGAAGACAGGTATGGCTTGTCATGGAGCTTCCCCCTGCCTTTCCCCAAGCTATGCCTGGATGGGCATTTTGGGACCTTCAAGACCCAACCCTTGAGGCCTACAAAAGGATTGTGACCAGGTTAGGGTCTAGAGGCCAGATCTCCAGACTCAGCTGAGGCTATCTTGTGGGAAACCGCCTATTGTCTTCACTAGCAGGGAGGTGTGACAGAGAACCCAGAAGGCTGGTGACCTTTGAAGCCCTAGCAAAGGTCAGAGCTGTGCACCCACTGTTAGTCCAGATAATGGTAGCTGAAGCAACTTCCCCACCAGATAGTTATGTAAATCCTTATTGATAAGATAATCATGTAGATCCTTATTGATAAGATAGTCTGTGTGTTACTGGAACTTGCCTGTCTAAGGGCTATGGGTGTATCCCAGTCCTTCCTCTTGAGTTGGACTTACCCACCTGGCCCCCCAATATTTCCAAATTATCTCTTGTCTCTTCTCTTTCATTTGTGTGCGGCTCCTCTTCCAGATCCTGAACCCTGAACCACGCGGGACGTGGAGGGAAACATTTACAACACTATCTGTCACCTCAATATGTCCATTTGTCATCTCTAGACATGCATCCTCAATGGGCTGCAGGGAGAGCTAAGGATGACCATTTCCAAGAGCCCCCATGTGTGGAGAGTGGGGCCCGGGGTTACTAAGGCTAGGTGGGGGCCCATGGAATGTTCTGGGGCAGATGTGTGTCCCTATCGGGTCTTGGCCATAATTTCAGTCAGGAACTAGTCTTTGGGGATAGAATAATAAAATGGGGGAAATACCTCATGTCCTGAGCCAGCCCTGAGAACTCACCCTGGACTGTGTTTCCCCAGGGAATGAAGACCTCCTGGATGTAACTGCACTAGAAGCAGCCAGGCAGAAGCTGATGGTTCCCGGCTACGCTGCGCACAAGGAGCTGTTCGCAAAGCCGCAGCACTTTCAGGTTGAAAGCCCATGTAATTTGCATGACACCTCATGGTGTTCCCAAGTTATCCCCATTCTCCACAAGGTTGTGGCAGAGGGTTGGAGCTTCAGACTGGGCTGCAGGTCCTCAGATTCTCACTGCATCCCTGCTCATCCAGGGGCCACTCTGGAGAACTTCTGCACAGAGCTGGAGCTGGAGACAGTCCCAGTGGGGCAATAGGAGCCACTGATGGCTGTGCACCAGCAGGTCCTGGCAGGTGCCGGGAGACAGAGCAGAAAGCCTGGGCCCTGCCCTGCAGGAGCCCATGGGGTTCTTGACAACATAAGGCTAGCCACATCCAAGGTCAAATGAGCTGACTGGGAGAGGTTGAAGGGAGTTTGAGTGGATCCGTGGGAAGGTCCATGGGTTCTACTGTGAATTCTGCAACCCCCAACTTCCCTTCAGTCTCAAGCCTGTGACCTAACGTTTCTGCCATGGTATTGCCTCCCTCAGCCTGCCACTTGCTCAGGAGGCTGGGAGTCAACCTTGACTATTCTTCTTCCTCACCCCACTCCCTGTGTCCAGCCACTGACCAAGGCCAACCTACTTCTCTGTCGCCACTTCCATTCCTTGGCTTGAGCCATCGCTTCCCTGGGCCAAACACCAGGCTTCCAGCTCTCCCCTGTCCATTCTTCAGTCAAAGTGGTCTTTCAAAGATGTCATTCTCATCTGCCACCCACCTGCTTAAAAATGTCCTTAAAAATAAGTACACCCCAATGTCCCCAGGACAAAAGCCAAACTCCTTACACTGGTTCCCAGGTCCTAGATCACCAGCCTGCCCCTCCAAGCTACCCTCTCCCCTGGCCCTGCCACCCTGCTCTAGCATCCTGGACAGCTCACAGTCCCCATCTCAAGCCTCCCTCTAGCCTCCAGGCCTTTGCACGTGCTGCCTTTGGAATACCTTCCCTCGGCCTGTGGGCCCCATCCTTTTCACCAGGCTAGTTCACCACAGGAGAGAAGAATATCAGTGTGCCTGTGTCACGCCCCTTCCTATGGCATAGTGATACGGACAAGATGCTGGCATGAGGACTGTTAGCCTGGTTTGGTCCACTCTTGTCTCTGATGCTCAGGTAGCTGCGGACGTGTTAGTCTCTGAAAGGCTTCTGGAGTTGATGGAGACACAGGAGACCTCATGGAGAATGATTGGACCCACAGCCTGGCCTGGGAGCCCTGTTTGCTATTTACTACCTATAGTCAGATGGCAAGCTCCCGAGACTGTGCCCTGCTCTCCACTGCCATCGTTATTGCCTCTCTCCCCGGCTCAGCCAGCCTGGATCTAATGTGGCTCCAAGTTGCTCCTATCCACCCTGCTTCTCATTCTAGGCTCAGATGTCACAGTCTCTTTACTGAGTCTTGGTAAAGTACATAAAAGCAGAGATTACACCACAGATTGTAGATTCAACTGCATGAAACTTAAAAATTTTAAATTCCTTAAAAAGATCATAGATAAATAAAAACCAGCCCTGGCCAGTGTGGCTCAGCTGGTTGAGCATTGTCCCATGCACTGGAGTCACCAGTTCGATTCCCGGGCAGGGCACATAACCCAGATTGTGGGTTAGATCCCTGGCCTGGGCATGGATGGGAGACAACCAATCAATGTTTCTCTTTTGCATTGATCTCTCTCTCTCTCTCTCCCCCCTCTCTCTCTTCCTCCCTCCCCCCTCCATCCTCTCTCTCTCTCAAATCAATACAAATTTATAAAAAAGAAAAATAAATAAGTAAAAATCAACAAACAGAGCCCTAGCTGGTTTGGCTCAGTGGATAGACCATCAGCCTGAGGACCAAAGTGTCCCGGGTTCGATTCCAGTCAAGGGCATGTACCTTGGTTGCAGGCTCCTTCCCGGCCCAGGCCATGATTGGGACACGTGCAGGAGGCAACTAATCAATGTGTTTCTCTCACATCAATGTTTCTCTCTGTCTTTCCCCTTTCTCTTCCTCTCTCCCTAAAAATCAATGGAAAAATATCCTCGGGTGAGGATTAAGAAAAACAACAACAACAACAAACAGAAACATTAGACTTTTTTTATTCTGTAACAAGCCCATACCAGTGGAGAAGAAAAACGAAATCCACACAGGAGGACAAGGACAAAGCAGGGAGGTGACAGTTCCCAGAAGGACACAGAGTCATGGTCATCCCCAGGCGTGGCTCCAGGCCGGCGGGCCCAGCTCCTGCCAGCCCTCTCCCTGTGGGCTGTCCTTCTCGCCACAGCAGAGGTTTCTCATCACAACACTTGGGTCTTTTAGAGAGAATCCCTGTGGGAGAAGGGGAGCCCAACATCAGGGTCTCATTGTGTCCCCGGTAGGTCCAAGTGAAGGTGTTTGAAGCCCGCCAGCTCATGGGCAACAACCTCAAGCCGTTGGTGAAGGTGGTCATTGGAGGCCATCAATACCACACACGTACCAAGATGGGAAACAACCCTTTCTTCAACGAGGTGGGCTGCACGTGCCCTTCAGGGCTGAATGGGGCACTTTGGCCAATTGAGCCAGTTGAGCTGGGCAGTTCCTGCAGGCAGGCAGCCAGCTTGCTCCTTGACTGAAGTGTGTTCATGTGTTCCACACACATTTACTGAGCACCTACAGAGGGTGGAGCACTGTGCTTGCCACTGGGGCCACAGATGGATAAGTTGCAGGAATGATTGATAGAACTGTAGATGAGGGGAGGGAAGCCTGCACAATGCCCTGGGGTCTGTCATGAATGACACTTGGGAGCCGTGGAGGGACTGAAGCAGGAAAGTGACAGAGCCAGGTTTGCATTTGGAAAGGAAGTTCTCACTGCAGCAGGGAGTGGTGGTGGAGGGGACTCACAGGGCAATCTGGAAGGAGACAGAGGCTCCACTCTCCACCCCAGGGTGGCTAGCTGGACCTCCAGCTGCTCACAACAGGTTCTGTGGGAATCCCCCACCCCTGCCCTTTATCCAGGCAGAAAACCCTCCAGGAGCCAGGAGGCCTCTGCTTCCTGAGGGGGAGCGTGAGGGCAGTATGCGCTAAGAGACATTGACATGGGCACCTGACAGGAAGAAGCCCACCACTCTGAGCCTTTGGGGTCACTGAGAGCTAACCCCATCCCCATCCTGTCCTTCAGATCTTCTTCCAGAATTTCCATGAGATTCCTGCAAAGTTCTTCGATTACACCATCTTAATCCAGGTAAAGAACCAGAAAAGAGGGTCCACTCTCTTGTCCCACCTCAATTCGGGGAAGCACTTCATTCCCCAGCCTCCCCTTAGAGCCAGATCACCTCAGATGGTCTTACTGACCGCAGGGCAGCATCTCCACCTTCTTCGCTCTCCTGCAGCCCACACCCACATTCATTCATTCATTCATTCATTCAGCAAAATGGAATGCCAACTGCTAGGCCCTGACCTGGACACGGAGGTGAACAAAGCAGCGTCTCCCCATGTGCCAGGACTCTCGTGCCACCAGGGGACCCCTCTAATATCCTCTCGAGGGGCCACATTCCACTCTTCTACCAGAGGGAGCCGGGTAACAGTGGTGAACATGTGTTTATCAGATGCCTCGTATGTCCCAGCACAGGGCTGAGGAGAAAGAGGAGGCCACCCCTCAAAGAGTTTCCACATTTGTGGGAACACAGGCACATAGGAACCAACCGGGACAGCAGGTGGTGAGAGAGTCAAGTGCGACACTGGGCTTTGTGTTGATCCTTGGGTTGAGCAAGTGAATCGGCCTCTTTAATCGATTTTCTCACCAGGAAAATGGAACTAAAAACCGGAACTCCACAGGGTTGCTCCGAGAATGAGAAGAGACCCTATGTGGATGTACAGACTCGGCTGTGGGGATGTGCCCTTGCAGTTCCCGCCCTGGGCGCGGAGGAAACTGGGCTGTGTAAACTGAACTCTTTCTGGCTCTTCCCCTGCAGGTGCTGAATTCCTCAGTTGTAAGAGCCCATTCGGAGATCGGGAGATTCCAAGTGAGCATTGGAGGAGGGGGGAGGTTGGGGGAAGGGTCCTAGAGACCCACCCACCCTGGGCTCCACCCACAAGGCCAGGAAAGGAATTCATCTACCTACTGGGTGACTTAGACCAGGCATTCTGAGCCCCTGTTTCCTCGTCTGTAAATGAGGGTGATCACTTACTCTGTGAGTGACAGGGGGGAGCTCCCCAACCCCCTGATGGACCCTGCTCTGTGCGTGACAGGGTACGGAGAGCACGTAACATTCAGGAGAACGCTGGGTGCCATGTTGAAGTCCCCACACTTAACAATGAGATTCCTGGGTTGTTGTGAGGATTAAAGCACGTAACATTCAGGAGAACGCTGGGTGCCATGTTGAAGTCCCCACACTTAACAATGAGATACAGTTCAAGCCTCTGTCTCCAGGAAATGGAAGCAGAGGATCCAAAAGGCCAACCTAATTGTCAAAGAAATCGGAAAGGCTGCTACCTGTGAGGACAGAGTGAAAGGTTTGCTTTGGAAAGACACAGGCTGAGATGAGGAAAGTTTACACATCCCAAAGGGCTACGCAAAGATTCCCCAAATCCAGGAAGATCAGAAAAGGTAGGGTTGTCAGGTTAAATACAGGATGCCCCGTTAAATCTGAGTCTTAAACAACAGGTACTTTGTAAATAGAAATATGTCCCAAATACTGCATGGCTCCTCACAAAATATTGCAGGGGACAAACGTATACTGAAAAGTAGTCATGGTGTACGTGCAATTCAAATTTAAGCAGGCATCTGTATTTTTATTCAAATTTAAGCAGGCGTCTGTATTAAATCTGGCAGCCCACAAAAAAGCACTTCACCTGTTAGGATCGCTGACGGAGGAACACATGAGGCCGAAACTGATAAAGATTGTAAATTTATTGTTACATTTGCAACAGAAGGGGGGGGGGAACAAAACGCCTTCAGCAGGCCGGAGTAAGGGGCGTGGGATATTTGTGTCTACCGTAAAGGCCAGACCAGGTGCGGGTGGGAGGGCGGGTGTAGGTGGTCCATTGGAAACTGGGTAAGGCTCTTTACTGGAAACTGAAAGCCCTTGATCATGTCTTTCGAAATCAAATCTGTAATGAGAATAACAGGAAAACAGCCGAGAGGGACGAGAGCCCCAAGCTGGGTATAATGGAGCACAGAATAAAGAATGTGCCTAACATTCCAGCCGGTCTCGTTTTTTCCTGTAAGCTGGGGTTCCTATAAGCTGAGGTTGATGAAGGAGGCCGATCTCGTTCTTCTGTAACTTCTTCATGCTTAGGTGGGATGTAGAAATGTCCCTAATTAACCGGTGATTGAGGAAGGGGATATCTGGTGTAGGTCTGGGATAGCATCATTTCCCCTATAGATCTATTGGCAATTGCCTGAATGTGGTTTTGGAAGAAGGAGGAAAAGGCTCTTAGGGTGCATGGGCCAAAGATGAGTGCCAGGAAGCACATTAAGAGGGGTCAAACTAGAGCAGCGGTTCTCAACCTGTGGGTCACGACCCCTTTGGCGGTCGAACGACCCTTTCACAGGGGTCGCCTAAGACCATCCTGCATATCAGATATTTACATTACGATTCATAGCAGTAGCAACATTACAGTTATGAAGTAGCAACGAAAATAATTTTATGGTTGGGTCACAACATGAGGAACTGTATTTTAAGGGCCAGAAGGTTGAGAACCACTGAACTAGAGGGAGAAGCCAGGAGGTCCAGTTGAGATTCTGTAGCCGGGTGCCCAGGATTTCAAAAGTTGTTGTTGGACTTTTGAGTTCCTATCAACTAGCTTCTTGGCTCCATCTCTTACTATGCCAGACTGGTTGGTGTAAAAACAGCATTCTTAAAGTACTGAGTACAGGGGAAAGGTAGAGAATATGCCCAACATCACCCTTGGAAAAAGGCAAATTTAGGACAAATTAAAGTCAGGTTACTTTCTCACTACTTGTAATAAGCACATGAACAGTCATGAACTGTCTCCCCACCCCCCGCCCCCTACTCCTGTCTTACTCTCCAAGCCACAGTGCAGGCTTAGAAATTAAGATTCTAGAGAGTAACTAGCAGGAGATCAAAAACGTTGTGCTTTTGACAAAGGCCACTGTGAAATTTTCAGAGAATAACCAATCATATGAATTGCTGAGTAAAATACAGAGGGCAGAAAAAACTTGAGCTTTTAAAAAAATATGTTACTTTTTTGGAAATTTTCAACATACACAGAAGTAGAGAGAATAGTATAAATTCCCACCTCCTCATCACTCAGCTTCACCAATTCATTGCCAACTGGGTTTTTATCCACACCCAGCCCATTTCCCCAGCCCCACTGAATTACTTTGAATCAAATCTCGGACATGATAGTTTAATTTAAATATTTCAGTGTGTAGTTCTAAAACATATCTTATTAAGCAAACAAGTATGACTATCACATCTAATTAAAAACCTTTCTAATTTGGTGTTCAAATTCCCCCAATTGTCTTGTGAATTCCTTTTACAGTTTGCTCAAACCAGGTGCATACATTGCAGTTGCTTAAAATGTATTATCAGGACTCTTTTATTCTGTTGGCCCCACCCCCTTTTTCTTTCCAATTTATTTATTAAAGAAACAAGTTTGTCCTATAGCGTCCCCCTCCCCCTGCCCCATCTGGATTTTGCTGATTGTATCGCCAGAGGATCACTTCTCAGGTCCCTCTGCCCAGGCTTTTCATCTCGAGGAGGCTTCACCAGACTTAGGTCAGTTATTTGGCAAGATGGCTTCAGCAGGAGGCACAGAATGTCTGTTGGTCTCTCCTTTTATGTGGGTAGTAGCTATCGATGACCACTGCCTAGATTTACTGCTTCATTAGGGATGACTGGAGTTTTGGGTGTTTTTTTTAGGGGTGACTGAGTTTTGTTTCGTTTCCTTCCAGCTTTATTGAGGTATAATTGACATACAATGAATTATACACATTTAAAATATATAATTCGATACCTTAAAAAATACGTATACACCAGGAAACCACTGTCATAATCAAGATAATGAACATATCTGTCACATCAATCATCCCCAAAAGTTTCCTTGTGCCCCTTTGTAGTTTTTTCCTCTAGCCCCCAACTCACCCCCTCCCATCCCCAAGCAACCAATGGTCTACTTTCTGTAACTATAGATTGCTTTGTACTTTCTAGAACTTCATGTAAATCAAATCATACAGTATGCACTTTTTTTTGTTAGTTTGGCTGCTTTCACTCAGCATAATTATTTTGAGATTCATCCATGTTGCATATATCAATAGTTCATTTCTTTTTATTGATGAGTAGTATTCCATTATATGGATATACCACAGTTTGTTTATCCATTCATCTGTTGATGAACATTTAGATTATTTCAGCTTTTGGCTATTACAATATTTATATATATAAAAGCCTAAGTGACCGTTATGACCAGTTGACCGAACGACCAGTCGACCAGTCGCTATGATGCACATTGACCACCAGGGGGCAGATGCTCAACACAGGAGCTGCCCCCTGGTGGTCAGTGTGCTCCCACAGCCAACGTCCCATGTTCCTTCCCCCTGGCCGGCTGGCCCAATCAGCCACGATCACTGTTCAGGCTGAGAGACCCCACCTGTGCACAAATTCACGCACCGGGCCTCTAGTTGATGTGTAAATCTTAGAGTGGACATATGCTTTAATTTCTCTGGAGTATATATGTAGAAGTAGAATGACTAGCTCTAATGGTAGGTGTATGGTTAACTTTGTTGTTGTTTTTGTTAATCCTCATCCGAGGATATTTTTCCATTGATTTTTAGAGAGAGTGGAAGGGAGGGGGAGAAACAGAGAGAGAAACATCAATGTGAGAGGACACATCGATTGGTTGCCTCTGGCACATGCCCCAACCAGGGCTGCAACTGAGATATGTACACTCAACTGGGACCCTTCAGTCCACAGGCCGACGCTCTATTCACTGAGCCAAACTGGGTAGAGCTAAAGAAAATTCTTAATGGTGTTTTTCTAAAATTCCAAACAAGCTTTATCATTTTATATTCCCACCAGAGGTATATTAGAGTTCCAGTTGCTCCACATTCTCACCAACACTTGATATAGTCCATCTTATTTTATTTTATCATTCTAATTATGTGTAGTTGTATCTCATGGTGATACACTTCCCTGATAACTAATGAACATCTTTTCATGTGCTTATTTGTCATGAATATATCTTCTTTATCTGTTCAAAATGTCTGTTCAAATCTTTTGCTTGTTTTCATTGGGTTGTTGTCTTACTATTGAGTCTTGAAGTTGTCTTATATATTCTTAAGTCCATTATCAAATGTATGATTTGGAAATATTATCTGCCAGTATAAGACTTGTCCTTTCATTTGTTTGATAGTGTCTTTCAGAGAGCAGGTTTTTAAATTTCAATGAAGCCCAATTTATCAGATTTCTTTTATGAATTGTGCTTTTGTTGTTGCATCTAAGAAATCTTTGCCTACTCGATCCAAGGGGGTAGCTGGTTTTAAAGCAGGCCTAACATGCAGGATCTGGGGACTGCTCTGTGGACCTTTCAGATGTGAGCTACAGGGGTGGCCTTGCTCCATAGCACATCAATGCTGTACCACGTCCCTCCAGCCTCCCTCCAGAAACTTTCTCACAGGAAAAGGGAAAACTCCTAGTCTCTCTGCCAACAACTCTCTTGACCATTCTCTTCCCCAGACAAGAGGAGCCCTTCCCACACCCAGGGCCAATGCTGTGTTGCCAGGCAGGGCTGCTTGGTGGTTAAGTGTCCTTCCAATCCAGGCCTCCTCGTTTACTAACTGGAAGACTTTGAGCACTTCCCTCAAACTCACTATCTTCCTCTGTAGAATGGAGGAGACATGGACCAACTTCCAGCTTGTTGCAAAGATTTAAAAAGTTAGGGCAGGTCAAGGGGCTAATATTGTCATTAGCGTAGCTGGAATTACAAATCTTGGCTGGAGGTTCTAACTGATCTTTATTCCACTCTTGTCTTTTCAGACAGATATTGGTTTTATCTACCATTCTCAAGGTAGGTAAATAGTTGTTGCAAATATGTGTGCCTTCCCAGAAAGACCAGGCCATGTGTCAAAACATCACAAAATCTCTGTATGTTCAACATATGGGGAAGAGTATTTAAGGGTGTGAATGATCTTCCACACTTGATATTTTATGGTACTTCATGGCATTTTATCTTGTTTTATAAGAACATCTTTCTCTTTAAAACTGAAGAATTCCCTTTGGGTCAAATGCTAATATTTTAATGCAGCCTTGGGCTGACTTTCTTATTTTATTTTATTTTTATTTATTGATGAAAGAGAGAGAAAGAAAGAGAGAGAGAAACATTGATTTGTTGTTCCACTTACTTATGTATTCATTGGTTGATTCTTATATGTGCCCTGACCAGGAATTGAACTTGTAACCGTGAAGTATTGGGATGATGCTCCAACCAACTGAGCTACCTGGCCAGGGCCAGCCTTGGACTGACTTTCTATTTTTGAGTTCATTAGGAAATTGAAGTTTGAGCAGAGATTTCCTCTGTGACCTGGCCATAACATACCAGGTTAAGGTTGGGACTTAAAGTTGGGGAGAATTCTTGTCTTTCTCATACCAGGACAGTAACAACTGTATGTTCCCAGAATCAGAAAGAGGGGGTCCTTATTTTCTAATGTCATTAGCTGGCAGCCTGGTGAATGCACTATCTTGGCTTAATGGTAGGAGTGACTCTCATTGTCCTACTACTGGATAGCAACCAATATATGAGACATGTTTCCACACCCCTCTCCCACACAAACAAAGCCTGGTTTCAGGGGAGAATAATGGAGACTGGAAGCTGGTCTCTCATGGACCCTCTGCCTCTCCAGGTCACGCACTCCAGAGGAGGTGGTTAGGCCTCTGCCAGCCAAATGAACCCAACAGTGGTGTGAGAGGCTACCTGAAGGTCACCATCTGTGCGCTCGGTGTGGGAGACCAGGCCCTGGTGAGGCTGCCCCCATACCCAAGTCACATTTCCTACCCTGACTGCTTCTGTGGGGCACCCTGGGCCTTCACATGCTTTCATTTGTCCCTGGTGTCACTTCAGAGTTGTCCACTTAGTCCCCACAGTGGCCTTGGCCGTGACCTCCCTGCAACTTTGACCCTGTCAGCTCTCTGGTCTCTCCAGGTAGATCAAAAGCTGCCCTATGATGCCGAGGACACCAAAATTCACATCTTCAAGTCAGCAATGGTCCCAGTGAACTTGGCCTACTTACAATTCTTCATCTACTGCGCAGAGGACCTTCACCTCAGTGAGAGTCAGGGTGGCAGGGAGGAAGCAACTCTGAGGTGCCCTACATGGTGGCACTGTAGGTCCCCATCGGGTTTGGCTGTTCCCGATGCTAATCTAAGATCTGGGATGAGGGACAGGGTGAAGCTAAAATCCACCAAGAGTTGTTTTATGGAGACCCCATTACACCCATTAAATTGGGCCGTATATTCCTGACCTGGTTTTGATGCTCAGGAGCAGAGGTTCACTCAGGAGCAAAGCCCCCTCCCTCTGCCTTTATGAGTCATGACACAGAACAGCACACACAGAGACAATGAAAATGGGAGCGCCGAACCACATTATGGGGGAGGGTTTTAAGTTGTTCTATCACCTCTCCATTTCCTTGTCCAAAAAAAAAAAAAAAAAAAAATGCTGTTGTCTCAGAAATCTTTTAACTTCTTGTTCACAGAGAAACACCATTTAGTGAGTCCAATGTTGGAAGTGGAACTAATTGGGGAAAAGGTAAGTGTAGAAAGGGTGTGTGGCTTAGAGAAATGCCCACCTAGAAAAAAACAGTGTGGGGGTAAGACTCGCTTGGTAGGCAGGACCCCAGGAATCATCTCCCAGTTCTTCCATTAAAGGGCCATATGATCCCACTGGACCAGGAACTTTGTGAAGGTGGAGCCATGGCTTAGCCACTGTCTCGCAGAGCTGTGCCCAGTGCCCAGCAAGGAGAAGATGCCTCCTGAAAACCAAAGATACGAATGCCTGATGAGTGAGTGACTGAATGAAGCAGCATGCTGCAAATGAACCTCACTGAACCCGGCGCCATCCCTCTGAGCCTCTGTTCCTTCATTTATAAACTGAGGGTTCTAGCAAGACAGTTGCTGACATTCCATGAACCTCTATGAACAGAGTAGCATTTTCCAAAGTGTGCTGATGGATGCTTTGTGCAAAAAGGATCCTATGTTCAAATTCGGTGAATGCTGGGCTAAAGTTAAATAGGTTTGTCTCAGAATTTAAAAACCATCATTTCCACCATGTTCTACCTATTAGGAGTCATTAAACCCAGCCCATATACTAGTATAAGGGGAGGGGTTAGTTAGTGTTCACCTTTTGAAGGAAGTAGTGCCAAAGGACTGGTGGACATACCTTAGAACCACCACTCCGAGCACGGTTTGGATTCAGGATCTAGATAAGATGATCTTGAGCGATAGATGAAACATATTTTTCAAAATGTTTTTCTGAGTGTGTATTAAAAAGTTTAACCAGTCCACTACCCTTTGAGTTCTCTGACATGATTGCTTAGATTAAGACTAGATTTTAAAATGATGCTTCGATAAGAGGTACCATGTGTGCTGCTGCTGTTGGAGCTCTTTTGATCACTTTTCTGTTGGGATCTTAGAGTTCATCTAACATAATCTAATGTGTTAAGGAATCTGAACCTGGGTAGGTGCACAAAGGACTAAGGCTGTAGCTGGTGAGAAGTTGTCCAAGTGTCTTTAGGCCAGGGAGTCAATTGATTATCCCTGGGCTACAGACAGCGTCCTTCTGTGGGCAGACCAGAAGGGCTGGAAGGTGAGGCCTGTGGAGGGAGCAGGGGACAGGTTGGCACTGACACTGCTTTGGGATATTCCCAGCTGAAGACACTGGTGAAGACCCAAACCGAGAACCCGATCTGGAATGAGATCCTGACCTTACAGATTCAGGTATTACCGTCCCATCATGCCTGCCCTCCTCCCTTGCCCCGCAAACGGAAAGGATGTTTGGGTGTTGGTGTGTGTAGAAGTGAGGTGGAAGGAGGGGCCAAGAAGCACGTGAGGGGGGAGGGCTCTGCCTGACAGGGAGCACGAGGAAGCCCAGGACTATAAGGCAAAACCTCACTACATCCAGGATTAATAAATAAGTGGGCCATACAACGGACCATTCCAGAAAACTTAAACGTGTCCTTTCACTTACATTAAATAACAAAGCAACCACTTTAAAGACTCATTCTAAACTGTAGTATGAATTATCTCCTAGGCCAAATGCCCAGGACAGAATGTCAGCTCTTTGTTGATGGCCTAGAGCAGTGATGGCGAACCTATGACACGCGTGTCAGAGGTGACACGCGAACTCATTTTTTTGGTTGATTTTTCTTTGTTAAATGGCATTTAAATATATAAAATTAATATCAAAAATATAAGTCTTTGTTTTACTATGGTTGCAAATATCAAAAAATTTCTATATGTGACACGGCACCAGAGTTAAGTTAGGGTTTTTCAAAACGCTGACACGCCGAGCTCAAAAGGTTCGTCATCACTGGCCTAGAGCTACCATGGGCCCACATTCTGGGCGACATGTGGTTGGACTATTTGTTTCTACCCTAAATGCCCAAGAGGCTCTTTGGTGTGGGGTTCTGAGGCCTGACTTTTATAGCCTTGCAGTCCTTCTCGGTCACTTGTCAACGGTGTGGATGCCGGTTCTCTTCAAGCCCTGGCAGCCAGGCTTCCAAGAGCCGTGTGCAAACCGAGGGGAGGCAAGTCTGAGAGAACCTGAGCACTCTCATGAGCGCAAGGCACAGAACGCTGGGTGCCATCCATTCGGCCACCCAGAGGGTGTTTGGGTTCCTTATCTTACATTTGTGTGACATGAAATTAGCTAAAGAGCTCCCCTCTTCCCTCCTTTGGGACCTCCTCCTCGCTCTCTTAGAAGCTTCCCCAGTCTCCTCCTGGTGAGTCATCGTTTTTAACCATTCCACCTAATCCCTATCTCCTTAGGTGATTTTATAGACTCATAAAGTAGGATGAGAGTTTAGAAGGCCAAGTTCATCCCCCACCCTTGCCAAGCTCACCCCCACCTGTGATGAGGCAGGACCCTCAGATGCTCAGCTGCCATTAGGCTCAGAACCAGTGGCCCAGGCCAGGCCTCCTCCATCCCTGAAGGGGCCCTCCAACAGTTAAAGGCATCCATGCATCCCCTGGGCCCTCACCCATTTCTGACAGGTCACAATGTCCAGGACGGGGACCAGTTGGATACAGGCCTGAGGATTACTGGTCCTCTGGAAATGCAGCAGAAAGATGTGCGCCTCACGCTGATGTGGCCGGATGTAGTCATCCTCCACAAACGGTAGCATCTGAGGCCAGCTGGTCAGGGCCCCAGCTAGGCAGACTGCAGGGGAGTGCTACTGAAATGGGGGTGTGCCACTTTATAGTCCAGGGGCCCCAGGACAGGAGGGGAGTCAAGGCAAGGAAGTGGGAGGAGAATTTCCAATAGGAAAGATGGAAAGGTAGTTTACCCATGAATTTGAATTTGGTGGATTCATAACTTTGGAAGACCTGGGTGCCTGCTGGTGCTCATGTCTCCACTTCCAACGTCCTTCCTTAACCTGGGTAATTCCTCATTTCTTAATACCCAGCTGTTCAACCGGAAAGCCTTTCCCTATCTCCCCTTGGCCCCCAACCTGCACAGCGAGTCGGGCATGAACGAGGAGAATGGAGAACTGGAAGGATCCCAGCAGGGCCCCAGGAACTGCTATGAGGGAAGAAGAGGCCCTGGCTGAGAAGATGGGGGACCAACTCAGACCTCAACCCGGCAGCTGTTTTAAACATGGACTTTATTGTTCTCTTAATTAAAGGAACCCTATAGCAGAGTAGAGATATGACTCAGAAGCATGGGTTCTAATCCTGACTCCACCCCTTACTGTGTGACCTTGAACAAGTTCCTCTGCTTCTCTGGGCCTCATTTCCTGTCTGCAAATAGGGACAGTCCCAGCCCTCCCTGGGCTTAGGCAGTGTTGTCAGGAGCTTGAGGCTGCATCAGCCCTTGCACCTAACATGAGAACTTCAGGAATTCAACTTCTCTGTGCCTCAGTTTTCCTGTCTGAAAATGGGACTAAGAATAGCACCTAGCTAATGAGGTTGCTGGGACTCAATTGGTACAGGAGATCATTCAGTACAGGTCGGGGGACATGGGACACCCCCCTCCCCCAATCCATGGATAACCATTGTTGTTTACCCTTTATGGAGATAGATGACCCACTGGTTGAAGTTAACTGCGGATATGATCAAGACATTCTAGGCTCAAGACTCCCCCCATGAGAGGGTGTGGTAATTACACTATGCTGGGCTGTGTGAGGACTGTAGTCGTGAAATCACAGTCCAGGTCTCACAGGTCCTGAGCTTATGCAATTAGCGGGCCGTTTGAAGACCAATAATACAAATGATCATGGGACACAGCCCTAGCCTCTCCCAGGGCCTTGCAAGGATCCATGCAAGTAGGGGTCCTAAAGCTTAGGGTCCAGGAGCTCCCATGGTAAATCCACCTTGGCTGTAGTTAATGGCTCATTGATAACTAAGCCAGGCCTTGGACCTGGACCCAGGACTTCCAAGTGCTTGTGGTCTCCGTGAGGACTGGACCCTCCAAGCAGGAGCACACACCCACTGTGTCTCTCGCCTCCCCCTGCAGCTGCCCTGCCTCTCCAGCTACATCAAGTTCAGAGTCTGGGACTGGTGAGCAACCAGGTGGAGGCTGGAAAACATGCCGGGGAGGGGAAAATCGAAGCTGGGTCAGGGGCTCAGCCAGCAGTATGCACTTCTCTCCAGCCCCAAGGGCAAACTCTGGAGTGAAATCGGGACTGTCAGCCTGGTACTCAACCAGATCTCGTCCACCGGAGCAGAAATAGAAGGCAAGCAAGCCCCCAGTCCCCCTCCGGTGCCTCTCGCACCTGGCCGCCCTCTCACCCTCTCTTCTTGCAGGAATGTACTCTGGTTTCCTACCCTGCTTTGGCCCCAGCTTTCTGACTCTCCATGGGGGTAAAAAGGCCCCTTTCCAGATCCAAGAAGAAGGCGCTGTAAGCCTCTCATGTCAACTCTAGGGAACAGAGGAGGTAAAACCGACCATGTGTGAGGCACTGGGGCCTGGGAGATGCCTGGGGAGGATCCGGGCCTGGTTTCTGTCCACCACATGCTGGTAGAGAACGTGAAGCCTGTCCGTAAATGGCCGTGAATGTGTGGGATGCGGCCATGGCACAAGAAAGGAACAGATGGAGGGCATGGAGATGGGATCCTGGGTAAGATTTTCAACAGGTGGAAAGGACCTATGAGACGAAAGAAGCAGCAAAGGTAAATGTAGAAAAGCACTGGGGTTATTTAGGCCTGGTGACAAACGCCAGAAAACCAAGTCCAATGGACTTACAAGAGGGAATGGGGCTGGGAAGGTCTCTGAGTGAGGAAGAGGCAGGCGCCACAACCTCAGTGCCATCAGAAGACTCTCACCCTCTCTCCATCTCTCATCTCTGCTGCTCTCTAGCCCTGGCCTCATTCTTTCCCACTGCAGTCAGGTTTCCGTGCTGGCACTGTGTTCCCGGGACTCTCTAGCAGGGCCAGGGAAGCATTCTCATTGGTGTCCTTAGGTCACATGTGCTTCCCTTGGGCCAGTCACTGTGGCCAAAGCACAGGACATGGTCTGATTGGCCACTAGTTATCACAGTGCCCTCCCAGCAGGAAGCATTTATGGGATCTACAGGCCAAATACATGGAAGGGAGGAGCAAGCTGAAGGGTGCAGAGGAAGGGTCAGGGCCTAGAGCAAGCATGTCAAACTCGCGGCAGGCGGGCCACATGCGGCCCACAACGAATATTTTTGCGGCCCAGCCAATATAACGGTATATAAGAAATGTTTTAATAAAAATTTCGTAACTTAATTTTTACAATATCCTGTTATACATAATTATTAATAACGAACTACAACGTTCACTAATGACTGATTATTATAATCGTGTTGCATTCATTTTCCTTATGCATCTTACGCACAGGCGCACCATTTCTCTCCACTAAAACTAGCAGCAAATATTTTAGCAGCCGATTGCCATGTCATTAGTCTTGGACTGATCTGTTTGGTGTGCGCAACAGGAAATATTCTACTTTCGGGGCAAAAGAAAAATGGGTTTATTTGCGTTACGCTTATTAATTTGTGCAGTTATTCAGTGTCTGGTACGTTAATGTTCAAGAAAAAATATTAATTTTTATTAAAATCTTCTATTATTTTATGTTAGTGATTACTCATTTATTTCAGCCCTTTGTATTCAGCATGTCTCTATAGAAATAAACCTATGTTTCTGTGAAAATTGAAGCTTTTGCTTTTTTGTGGCTGACATAAACTTCAACCTTGTTTATTTGGCCTATGTTAACCTTTGAGTTTGACTTGCTTGGCCTAGAGGTTTCCAGGAACACTGTGTCTGGGATCTGGAATTCCTCCCTGGGGTTGAACTTACCGGACAATTCTGTCTTTACTGTAGAGGTGTTGGGAGATTGGCCTGCTCTGTTTCTCTCATCCCCTTCCTCCCCACTTTCCTCTCTCTTTTCTTAGGGTATCCCCAGCTCTGTTAAGGACGGTTTGGAGTATCGAGGCCGGGTCTTCCTGGAGTTAGTCACCAACATCAAGTCCCACCCAGACAGTAGAATAAAGGACCTCTCCCAGGAAGTGACCAGTGTAGAGGTAACCCAGGAAGAAAGGGGCCCTCTGCCGACCCCAATCAGGGGCCACAAGCTGAATGTGGTAATGGGTGCGTGAGGATGGTGCTCAACCCACCTGAGTCTCTCCCGAGCCGCTAGAGCATCCTGCCATGCCAAATCCCAGGTGGCCAGGGGACCTAGTAAAGACAAGATAAGGCTTTGGCTTAAGGAAAGTGTCATCTAGTTAAGCAGGAAGATTCTAAGAAGTTTGGGTTTCTTCCTAAAGGCAGGGGAAGGCCATTGAGGCAGCAAAGTGTTGAGAATAGTCAGGGGGGAGTAAGGTGAGTCACTCACTTGCTCAAGAGAAATGGTACAGTTACAGGGAAGAGAGCTTTACAGGAGAGCTGGTTCCAAAGGGACTCTGAGTGATCAGAGCCACCAACTAACAGGACAGAAGTGAAACACATTCCCCTAAGCCAGTGGTCGGCAAACTCATTAGTCAACAGAGCCAAATATCAACAGTACGACGATCGAAATTTCTTTTGAGAGCCAATTTTTTTAAACTTAAACTATATAGGTAGGTACCTTGTTATTAACTTAATTAGGGTACTCCTAAGGCTTAGGAAGAGCCACACTCAAGGGGCCAAAGAGCCGCATATGGCTCACGAGCTGCAGTTTGCGGACCACTGCGGGCCTAAGCTGATGCCTATTTTCTGCTTCAGGCGGGAGAGAGAAGTTGCAGATGGTGCATGGAGACAAGTGCATAGCAACTTGGCTGGAAAGCGGAGGGAGACAAGATCAGGTGGTAGCTGAGGGGAGAAGGAGGCTATGTTTAAGGCAGAGGAGACCTGAGCTAGGGAACAGGCTAGGAATATGCAAGAGTAGGGCAGAGGTTGCAACAGAAACAAGAGAGGAGCTATAGAAAGAGCCCTCCCCCCCCCCCCCAGCAGAAGGGAGGCATGGTGGGAGGAGGGGGCTTGAGGAGGAGCAAGAAAGGATGTATGTGTGCAACGTCTACCTTGCACCCCTGTCCATTCTCAGTCTCATCTGAGAAGAGCATTTAGGCCAAAAGGAGAAGAGTGGTGTGGCCCAACATGGGTGTAGGTAGGTGGCCCAACCACAGCCTCACCTGACCAGCAAGAAGACCCTCCTGCCCAGTTGCAGAAAGGGAAGGGATCAGGGTTGGCTGGGTCGGGGAGCGGGCAAGTGATGGAGGTCCTGGAAGGAACTGCCTCCTTGATCAGCCAGGTGAGTAGGAGTCAAGGCAAGGCTTTGAGTGGGGGTGGGTTTCAGTGATGGTTGAGCTCACCTCATCCTTGCCCCCTTCCTGTCTTTATAGCCTTGTTCATCTTGGCTTATGTGCTGGGGGTGTGGGGGTTATTTGTTTTAGAAGCACAAGAACCGCCTAAAGTATGGGCTGTGCATCATCTTCCTTTCCTGTACCATGATGCCCAACTTTAAGGACCTGATCCAATTTGAGGTCAGCATCGGCCACTATGGAAACAAGATGGACCGGAATTACAAGCCTCTCGTCTCAACCACACAGTATAGCCCAGTGATATATGATGGTAATAGTCAAATCCAGCCAAGAGGTGGAGAGCATCCACTGCATGCCAGGCTCTGAACCCTTGGAAGGGTATTAGCTCATGGAACATTCACAGGCATTGTTAACCCATGTTCCACACATTAGGAAAGTGAGCTTCATGGAGGTGAAGTCACCTGCCAAACATTGCACAACTACTGAGTGGTGAGCCCACAAGAGTTGAAACCAGGTCATGGCTTCAAGTCCTCCTCCACACTACAACTTCCCAATCCCATCTTCTCCCCCACTACCCTGAACCAGCCCCGTCCATCCATGCAACTTCCACCCACTGTTCATCTCCCTACCTGCTATCCATCCATCTCTCCTCATCCAATACCTACCTATTGGACACCCATATTGGGCACTAGAGAGAAACGGTCCTCAAAATGCGGTGTCTAGGCAGCAGCCTCAGTATTGCCTGGGAACTGTGAGAAATGCAGATTCTTGGCCCCACCCCAGTCCTAAAGAATCAGAATATCTGGGGATGCGGCCCCACAATCTGATTTAGCAGGCCCTCCAGACGATTCAGATGCATGCTAAAGTTTGAGAATCGCTGCTCTGGAGGAATATGGTCTCCCTTTCACCTTCATCAGCTTCACCATCTCGTCACCCATTGAGAGGCTTTCCTCTCAGCTGGCAGTCATTGTATTCCTCTTCTCTGCCTGTTCTTTTAAGAACAGCTTTATTAAAATATAATTCAGAATATCATACAATTTACCCATGTAAAGTAGACCATTCAGTGGTTTTTCGTATGTTCACAGAACTGTGCACCATCACCGTGGTCAATTTTAGAGCATTCATCATCCCAAAAAGAAATCCTGTACCCACTAGCAGTCACTTTCTATTCTCCTATCTCCCCAACCTTAGGCGACCACTAATCTATTTTCTGTCTCCATAGAGTTTCCTATTCTGGACCATTTCTCCACCTCCCCACCCCCAACCCGGACCTTTTATATACATAGAATCATACAATATGAAGAAAGACTGGCTTCTTTAATATGGCATAATATTCTACTTTTTATTAATTTTTTATTTGTATCCATTTTCAGTAATGATATGCTATGAAAAAACTTGTCATACCATCATAATCATTTTATTTTTTAATTGAATTTTAAAATAATCTTTATTGTTGAGAGTATTAAAGATGTCCTCCCCCATTCCCCCCCAACACCCCCCCCCAACTGGTTCCTGCCCCATCCCAGACCTTCACCACCCTATTGTCTGTGTCCATGGGTAATGCATGTATGCATATAAGTTCTTTGGTTAATCTCTTCCCCTCCCCTTACCTCTGAGTTTTATCTGTCTGTTCCATGTTTCCATGCCTCTGGTTCTACTATATTCATCAGTTTATTTTGTTCATTAGATTCCATGTTTGGTTATTTTGATTTTTAAGTTCAATTGTTGATAGATATATATTTATTGCCATTTTATTGCTCTTATTTTTAATCTATTTTCTTCTTCTTAAAGAAGCCCTTTAACATTTCATGTAATACTGGTTTGGTGGTGATGAACCCCTTTCGCTTTTTCTTGTCTGTGAAGCTCTTATCTGACCTTTAGTTCTAAATGATAGCTTTGCTGGGTAGAGTAATCTTTGTTGTAGGTATTTGCTTTTCATCACTTTGAATGTTTCTTGTCACTCCCTCTGGCCTGCAAAGTTTCTGTTGAGAAATCAGTTGACAGTCATATGGGTACTTCCTAGTAGGTAACTACCTGCTTTTCTCTTGCTGCTTTTAAGATTCTCTCTTTGTCTTTAACCTTTTGCATTTTAATTATGATGTGTCTTGGTGAAGGCCTCTTTGGGTTCATCTTGTTTGGGACACTCTGTGCTTCTTGGACTTGTATGTCTATTTCTTTCACCAGGTAAGGGAAGTTTTCTGTCATTATTTTTTCAAATAGGTTATCAATTTATTGCTCCCTCTCTTCTCCTTCTGGTACCCCATGATGCAAATGTTAGTACACTTGAAATTGTCCCAGAGAGTCCTTACACTATCTTCATATTTTTGAATTCTTTTTGCTCTTCTGATTAGGTGTTTTTTCTAAGTCTCTAATTTGATTCTCAGAGCCCTCTATTCTACTGTTAATTCCCTGTAAATTATTTTTCATTTCAGTTAGTATAGCCTTCATTTCTGACTGGTCCTTTTTCATGTTGTTGATGTTCTCACTTAAGTTCTTTAAAATTCTCACTAGTTTCCTGAGGTTCTCACTAAGTTCCTTGAAGTTCTTATTAAGTTTCTTGAGCATCCTTATAACCATTGTTTTGAACTCTGAATCTAGTAGTTTACTTGCTTCCATTTACTTTAGTTCTTTTTCTGGAGATTTCTTCTGTTCTTTCATTTACAACATGTTTCTTTGTCTCTGCATTTTGGCTGCTTCTCTGTGTTTGTTTCTATGTATTAGGTAGACCTGCTATGTCTCTTTGAATTGGTAGAGTGGCCTTATGCAATCAGTGTTCCTTAGGGCTCAGTGGCTCAATCTCCCCTGCCACCTGAGCTGGGCACTTTAGATGGATCCCTGTGTGGGCTGTGTGCATTGTCCTGTGGTAGTTGAGCCTTAATTGCTGTTGGCATTACTGGGAGGGATTAAGCTTCAGGCCAATTGGCTGTGCAGACCAGCTGTGACTACAGCAGAAGAACTGCTGTGCAGGAGATGCCTATGGAGTAGGACTTGCCTTAGTGGGACTTTGAAGCTTTCAAAGTCTGCCCCTTACATTGTGTCTCAAATGGATGTGGTTAGGGTTGTAATCTGGCATGGTCTGAAGCTGACCACCAGATGCACTGGCTCTGGAGCCTCCCAGGAGGTGCAAAGTCAGCCACTTCCTGTGCCCTGCCTAGGGCCACCCGACACAAGCTACAGAGCAATCTGCAAATGGCTGCTACGTGTGTTGGGTTTGGAGGTGCCAGGAGAGGCCAAGCTGTGAACCAAGGGAGGCTGCTGCTAGTGCCAGGCCTGGGGCTCCTTTATTGAGAGGTATGAGGCATGCTGAGGTTAGCTGCTGCTTATTTG